TTCTTCCCTCTTTTTTGTGCATATTCTCATGTTTTTTTAACAACGGCAATAGCCTGAGCACCTCATGTCCTTCAACCCCTTAGTAAGGCCTGGAGCAGACCACAAGAACAGCTCAGCAACTCCTAGGATGAGTTCACTGTGACTACCTGGTGGTCCAAGCCTTGCAAGAAGACATTTTTTGGAACCACAGCCATGGCTAGTGGAAACTTACTGGATTTTTAGCTCACCTCAGTGAGTTCCCTCTTTTTTGGGGTCAGTGCTGGTTCCCTTCAGCTAAACCCTGTCTTCCCCTCCCATTAGAGTCTTGCCTGACTTGTGCTTGCAGGTTGGCTTGGTTTCATTTCTATTGCCTTTGTGTCAAAAGATTCCATTGTCTGGTATCAATGGAATCTGTTTTCAGATTTTTAATTTATTTTTTAATTTATTTATTTAGAGGCAGGGTCTCACTATGTAGACCTGGAACTCACTCTGTAGACCAGACTGGTCTTGAACTCACAGTGATCCTCCTACCTCAGCCTCCCTAGTGCTGGGATTACAGGTGTGCGCCATCACGCCTGGCTCAGATTTTTCATTTTGTGGGTGTGTGTGTGTGTGCGCTCTGGGATTGAGTGTCCTTTGCACTGAGCTACATCCCTAGTCCCCTTTCTAATTTTTAAATTCGGAGGCGGGTTCTTGCTAATTCCCTAAATTTCCCAGAGGGGGATTGGATTTCTGATCCTTCTGTAATTCCAGAGTGCTGGGATTATAATCACTCACTGCCATACCTGGGTGTTTTTGGTGTTTTAACCTTGACTATTTTGGAGGTGGTGGTTAATAGAAAAGACTTAGTTTTATCATCCTAGGCAGATTTTTCCTTCCCCACTTCAGTGAAGGGACAGGTGCATATTGGTGGGAAGGGTGAAGTCCATGGACAACAACCAAATACCATGTCCAAAGGGCAGAGAGGGGTGTAGGCGATGTCCAGCCTTACCCAAGGGGCCTCAACCCCAAATCCATGGGGCTCCTGTTACCAGGAGGCAGGGTGGTCTTAGGTTTGCTTCCTGCTGTCACCCTAACTCCCTTCATTCTTCCTGAAACAAAAACAAAACCACACTCAAAACACATAAGCAACACTTAAAAAAAAAAAAAACAAACCTGCGTGCTTTGATATGTTGTCTTGGGGCAGAATCTAGGTGCTAATTTTAATCTACCTAGTTAGATCTGTAGGAATATACATTTATTTTGTACAGTGCAAACCTATTTCTATGTATCTAGAACCCCTCCGCACACTGTGCTGGGTTGATGGGAAATGAGGCGCCCCTGATCACCGCCCTTCCTCAGATCCCGGGTGGTACTGCATTGTCCTGTGTTGCTAAGGTGAGTGGGCACCTGCTTGGCTCCTGGGCACAGACCTGCACCAGTGGCTACTCTATTCTTCTTTGTCCTTGCCCATGCAGCCTTTTGGAGTTCACCTTTTTGTGCAGCTTTCTTGCTGAGCTGGGAGGCTGGGAAATCTGTGACGTGCCTGCCTAGGGACTCTTGGTAGCTGGTTTCTCTCATTGTCTCACCCTCACCCTGCCCCAGTCTCTACGCTGCTGGGGAACAGGGTGCAGCCCCTCTCTCAGGACTGACTGACCTCTCTCTCTCTTTTGTTCCTTTCTCCTCCAGCCAGTAGTGCTGGGTATAGGGAAAAGAAAGCCTTTTTGCAAACTGGAGGAAATCCTTCTCCCTTTACCCCCTGTCTCCTGTGTTCTCAAATCCCCCTCTATCCTCCATCTGGGAATGGATGCTACTGGAAATAGTGCACAAAACCTGCCTGAATCTGCCCCTTTCTCCAGGCAAAAAGCACAGAGCCCACAGTACCTACAAAGAGGGGCAAGGGCATGGTAGAACCCCAACCCCCTAGATAATGATCAGATTTTTTTTCTTTTAAATTGAATTTATTGGTACATTCTAGGTAGACAGTACAGTTACATTTATTACTGGGATCTTGTACCTTTACATGCCAGGTCTTGGTTCTCATTTTTCCCCTTGTCCCTGCCCTCCCTTCACCCCCTCCTCACCTCCCCACCTTCTAACACTTTAATTCCGTTTTTACATTTTCTCATATTTTTTTCCTTTTCCCTTGTTCCCCTTTCCCTATCCTTCTCACTGTCCCTATACCTTTGGTCCTTTTCTTCCTATTTCATGTTTCTAATTGTCCCATTATGATCTTGAGTACTATTTTAGTTTTTCACACCAGAGAAACTATTTGGTATCTACACATGTGTGACTTATTTATTTCACTTAGGAGTATATCCTCAAAATGTATCCATTTTCCTATGTATGAATCTACTTACTCATTCTTTATGGCTGAGTAGTATTCCATTTTATAGAAAAACCACATCTTCTTTATCCAGTTTCCAACTGATGGGCAGTTGGGCTGTTTCCAAGTTTTAGCTATTACAAACTATGCCTCTATAAACATGGGTGTGCATATATCACTGTGGTATGATCCTTTTAATTCTTTTGGAAAGATACCCAGCAGAGGGATGGCTGGGTCAAATGGAACCTCTAATCCTAGTTCTTTGAGGTTTCTCCATATTGACTTCCATAGTAGTTGCACCAGTCTGCACTCCCACCAACAATGGAGAAGGATTCCTTTCTCCCCAAAACCGTGCCACATTTGTTGTTGTGTGATTTCTTGATAGCAGCCATTCTTTGTGGGGTGAGGTGAAATCTCAGTGTTGTTTTCATCTGCATCTCTCGAGTGACCAGTGATGTGGAGCACTTTTTCATATATTTACTTGCTGCTTTTATTTCTTTGTCTGAGAAATTTCTATTCATTTCAAATGCCCATTTTAGAATTGGGTCTTTATATTTGGGGGGGGTGTTTTGAGTTCTTTATATATTTTAGATAATAGTCCTTTGTCTAAGGAGCAGCTGGTAAAAAGTTTTTCCCACATTGTAGGTTGTCTCTTAGTTTTATTGGTTTCTTTTGCAGTGCAGAAGCTTTTTAATAAGATGAGATCCCAGTTGTTCTGCTAGCTCCTGTGCTACTGAGGATTTGTTTATAAAGTCTTTTCCTCTGCCAATGTCTTCCAGAGTTCTGCCTAACTTATCTTCCAGCATGTTTAGTGTTTCTGTTTTAATATTTAGATCTTTAATCCACTTGGATTTTAATTTAGTGCATGGTGACAGGTAAGGGTCTAGTTTTAATCTTTTGCAGGTTGAGATTGTTTTTCCAACAGACAGGTATTTGTTCTTAGTGCCTAGTTCCTGGCAGAATTTAATGTCTTTTACCATTCATAATTAATACCCTTTCAAGTTTATGTCAATAAGGTCACTTTTAAGATATGGGGACTGAATGCCAGAGAAACTATGTGGCTAGAAGACTGGAACTTTAAATTCTATTTGATCCTCCACTCCATGACCTCCAGAGGGCTGGGACTGCGTTAATCACCAATGGCCAATGACTGAATTATACTTATGTAATGAGGTCTCCATAAAAACCCTCAATGACAGGGTTCAGAGAGCTTCTGAATTGGGGAATGCATTCATGTGCCTGGAGAATGTTATATCCAACTCTATGAAGATAAAAAGCTCTATTTTAAGACACGTCAGCTTACTTTTTCTTGTAAAGGTTCAGAGTAAATATTTTAGGCTTCTGGACCTTATAACGTCTTCCCACTAGAGAGCAGCCATAGACAATATGTAAACAGATATAACTGTGCGCCAATGAAACTATTTTTGAAAAACAAATAGCCAGCTGGGAGGTATCTGCAGACCTCTAAGGTAACTTTTCAAATGTTAGGCTTTATTATTTGGCATTCCATCTCTTAAAAACTTAAAGTGGAGACTGATTGGAAGCTATTTACCAATTCTATTTCTGTTTTAACAACTAGTATCACTGGCCTTAGGAAAAAGCCCCACCACAAGCCCAATAAATACATATGAGGCCAAGCAAGTCAGATAATTTCTTTATTCACAAAGTGCATTCTTTGGCTAGCTTCAAATAAAGTCTAATTAGCCACTAGAAGTTCAGAAATTATATAGATGATAGCTATAATTACCAGTATTAATCTTTTAAATCAGTAAGCATAACTGTCCTTAGATCCTTACTCATATACTTGCAGCTTAAAGATCAGAGTTTTCTGTCTTCTGCCAGAGTAGAAACTGCTTATGCTTACCTATCATGGGATAAGCCTAACATTTCATCCCTTTACCTGGACCATGAATAGATTCTTCCCCTGTTAACTTATTAGCTTTTAAATATAAATCCCAATGAATGAATCAAAAAATAAAAATATATTTTTCATCGGTAAATTCAATTACTTAATACTGTAATATATCCTAGGTTTGTAAATACATCAAAACCAGTCACAATCTAAAAGACTTAAAGATGTATTTTTATTCATTTTAAATGAAAAATACCTCATTTCCTAACAAACAGGCAAGCTACCAAATAGTTTCATAAAGCCTCATTTTTATTTTCCATAGTCAGTCTCTTTCCTGTTTGAAAATGGAATCTGTGAATTCTTTTAGATTGTTTTTATTTAGCACACACACTGAAAATTCTGACAAGTACCTGAAGAGATCCACAATTAGTGCAAAAAGAATATACAGTATTTTAGAGGTCATTTTTTCCCAGTATAAATAGAGCTAAGCTTACTAAATAACAGATTTTATGTAAATATATAATTTCCTTTTCTTTCTGAAAGATAGCAGATAGAAAAATATTAAAATATTATTAGGTTTAGTGAGATTTATAGCTCATATATTATAAGCTTTATTTTAACTGCAAAAATATTTTAGCCATGTTTAGGGCAAAAATAAACTTATTAAGAATATGATTTCATTATTTCTAAAGGCCAGATACAAGAATGCTGATTGTTTTCCTTGTAAGTGGAATATCTGCCAGAACACTTATGGTAGTCATTTGATAGGAATGAATACATTAAAAAAATACTAGTTAATGTGTTGGAGAATTCCATATTTGCTTATTTTCCCCATTTGGAAAGGCTGTGGTATTGGTAATTTCATCATTTATCTTTCTTCTTTGCTTCTTTGTTTTCATCCTTCTGTCTTCTAATTTTTGTATTTGATGTTCCTTCTTCACCTTCCTTCTGAGAATTATCAGATATTTGATAGTCCTCAAGGAGTTTTTATCCCGTTTGTTTTGCAGTTTTCTTTACCATTGCTTTGATGCCAATGTTATCAATATTATAGGCAGTTACACCAACAATGATGGCAGAATCCACTGCATGATGTGTAGCTTCTCCTGCGTTATGACCGTATTTGTATCTGACAGTCTGTACAGTTTCTGCTGAAACATTGTCAACAATGCATTTAGCTGCACATTCCAACCCCTGCCAGACAGTTGAAAATCCTTGAACACTACTTGCTGCAACAACCACAGCACCATCCAGTGTAGACTTTTCATCTTTGTCTCTTTTAAGAGATTCTGGAACAAGTTTGCTTCCATGCCTCTTAACGTGTGGAGCTAATTCTTTTCCAACACAATTCGCTACAGTGCAAACTCCATCAACCAGGAAGTGGTTGACTTTGGCTGCTCCTCCTGTAGCCTGCTTGGCTATATAAAGTCCCTTGCTGACAGGTGGACTAACTTCCACTGGCTTTTCTTCTGGCTGAATCCATTCTCGGAGTTTAGAAGCACCTTTCTGGATTGCTTTGCCAGTAAATTCAGCACCTTTGACTAAACCCCAACTCACCCAGGAAGCACCTGACAAAATGTTTTGAGACACTTTCTCACTCCACTCAGGTAATTCTTTAGCTTCTTCTTCTGAAACTGGCCCACAGGGTACCATGTGACTCAGGGTTAACTTCTTCATTTGAAGTATCTTTAGTCTTTTTCTTGTATTTTCCTTTATGATGCACATCCTTGTTTCCTTGGCCTAATGAAGGGTCTAATGGACTCACATCACTACCAGAGGCTTCTCTCACTTGGTCAGAGGGGCATCTTGTTCTTCCAGAGATTTGAAATTCATCTTCTCCTTCTGCTCTGTTTCAGTCGGCCTGAAGTTGAAGGTCAGACATTTGTCTTAACAAATCCTCAAAGAGTTCTCTATCATCTTCTGGTAGTTCAGAGGATAAGACCACACCCACAAAGCATCCTGAGCTTGTAACATTGTATCAGGAAACATGTAGGCCCCCACAGAACATTTGAGAACTGGAGATCTGTCAGGGACCAGAGGATACAACCAGTCACAAACCTGAAGAAACCCAGGAGGGCGGTTTAAAACTGTATCAAGAGAATTATCCAAGAAACTCACAATTCGAAGGTACCCAGGATATGAAGGTGCACTGACCTCCCCAGCAGGATTTACAAAAAAAAATCTGTACTCCATTTGGTATCAAAATCAATTCATCAGCATCCATCCCTAAGGTCTCAAGAGGAGGTGGCTGAGAATTATTCCTATAGAAATCTCCAGTGGATGAAATTTCACCAGAATCTGCTCCATAAGACACAGTATAGTGACCCTCAACAGCCTGAGGAGTATAAGCAGGAGGAGCTTCTGATGAACCACTTGGAGGTGGTAAGGCTAGAGAAGAAGGTGCAGCAATAGGTCCTAAACTTGCAGTTGCAGTGTTTCCATTTATTTCAGCATGCTGAGGTGGTGAATTAGAGGACTGAGGCCCTGGTGACTTTTCACACATGTCTTTAGGTGGAAATTCTGGATATAACTTGTGTACCTCCTGAAGATCATTCCGTAGGGAAGTGGCAAGACCTTTCTCTAGAATTTCTAACCTGGTGTGTACATTCTGTAGTGTTTCTTTCATTTTTTGTTGCATCTGTCTAGCAGATTCCCACCCAGGGCCTGTGTGTTGAGGCTCTGTTGATATAATGCTGATTCCTCTGAGCAGGTGTCCTATTCCTTTCTTATAGTAGTTCTTTGCTTCTTCCTTATGACCTAATTCATCTGTATTCAGACCTTTATCAACATATAAAAAAGCATTCTTGTATGCTTCCCTGATAATCTTAATTTCAGCAGGTTCTCCATTCTGTGGCTCTTGCTCCATTTCGACTGCGAGCTTCTCAAACACTCGTCTGGAAATGGCTCCCCTGCCCCTGCCTCAAGGTCGCCACAGGCCTCCGCCAACCTGCGCCTTCCAGACCTGGCCTGCTCCGGCCCTCCCAGAAGGGCCCAGCCCCGCAGCCACCCAAGGAGCCTGGGCTCCAGCGCCTGAGCTGCCCTCCAGGCTCCCCGCCCGGCCACCTAATGATCAGATTTTGACCAACCCAGGCAAGGAGGGAGGTGCGACCCCGAGAGACATTTAATGTCTTTCTTTGATTTTTTTCTGACATCTTCCTGCTTCGTCCACAGGGGAAGAAGAGGAGAAAGAGCAGAAGTCATTGTGGTTAGAACTGGCTGTGTCTCAGCAGTGGGCTGCGTGAGCCTGCGAAGGACTCAAATCTCAGACACAGAGAGGAGCAGAGAAGATGAGAGCGAGGGTGGAGAAGGGGAGAGCTTGTACTTTGTGCTCCGGGTGTAGGAGGAGCCGGGGTGTCCTGTGGTCTGTGCCTTCTCTGCTTTCCTTTCAGGACGAAGTCTTGGAGAGTGTTTTGCACGAAAGGGTTTGGCATTGCCAGTCAGGGCAGGCCGAGGCACGGAGGACTTGAAGATGAGTATCCATGCTGACTGTGGTGACATCACAGGACATCACAGGAACTTGATCCTGAGTTTGTTCCCTCTGTCCGCCACCCCAGCATCTTCCTGACCAGTCTGTGTAGCATCAGCCACTCACTGTCTGAGCTGAGGCTGCTGTGACCATCTTGCATTCCTCAGCCAAGAGGCTTCTGGGTAACTGAGTTAATTTTAGCTGCAATTCCAGGATCATCGCTGCCGAAGAGAAAGAGCCTCATTTCTCTGTGCAGGCAATGGAGTTGGGCTGGACTGGAGCCATCTGCTCAGAAAGCAGGTGGTCATGGGGGTCTGAGATGGAATCACAGGATAAATGAGCCGTCAGTCTCTGCCCCAGGGTCTCATCTTCTTTGAGGGATCAAAGTCTAACTGGAGAACGCCTTTGGGACCAGGGCTCCCTGCTCTCCTGACCCCTTGGCTGGGAGCCCTGATCTTGCTTTTGCTGTTGCCAGGGTGGGGCCAAGGGCATGGTGTGGCCTGTGGTAGAGTAGTGAGCAATATCTATTCCTGCACTCAGATTGGAAAGCTCATCCTTTGGGAAAAAACAATGCCCGAGCAACAAGAGTTGGAGAGAAAGAATGTAGACTTTATGGAATGGTTAGATACCTGGGAAGGAGGCAGTCTAATGTCTCCAGCTCCCCTTCCTGGGTCTCTTGGGGAGATGGAGGACATTTGTATGGAAGTCAAGTCTTAGAGTACATGCAGAAGCCAGCATGTTTGAGAAGCTTGGTGCAGCTACCTGCAGCTGACTCCAGCCAGGGGCAGGATGCTCCCGTTTAAGTCAGATCAGTCACCACGTCCTGGAATCAGCTCAGAAAAGAGAGGAAGATCAAAGTAATGCAACATGAGCTGGGTATGATGGCGCACACCTGTAATCCCAGCACCCAGGAGGTTGAGGCAGGGGTATCACTGTGAGTTTGAGGCCAGCCTGGGATACATAGTAAAACCCTATCTAAAAAAAAAAAACCAAAACAACAAAAAACAGTAAAGTGGTGGTCACAGGCTTGTGACTGTGAGTCTGGCAGTCTTCGAGACTGAGGCAGGAGGACTGAAAGTTCAAAGGCAGCTTGGCCAGTTTCACAATTAATAGCAGTATAATAAACACGGGCTGTGTTTGAATAAGACACATAATTCCATCAGAAAGCTGTCAAAATACACAAATTTAGTTACCAGGCACTGTACTGCCATCTGTCCAAGTTGTAGTAAACACACACATTTTCCATCTTTGAAGGGAAACAACATGTGATAATATTTTTCAAAATAGGGAAGCCGTCCATGCTGTGAATGGCATTCCTTTCAATATGGCCACTGGTACACAGGGAACAGGAAGCCGGAGTTCATCTTTCTTTGAAATTCCTTTACTGTCTCTATTTCCTAAACAGTTTGTAAATTTCTCCTCTTCCTGTCTGCAGCTGCTGTCACTGTTTTATTTCAGGGGCTCATCTTTTCTAGCTCCGACCCCTGCAGCACCCCTGCACGGGTTCTCCCGCCAAGCCCATTTCCTGGACATGGCACGCTGTTCCCAGTACCCTGGATGCCCATGCTGTCTGCTGCTCTCTCTCAGCCTGAGGCTTTTCACTCCAGCTCCTGACGGGCAAATTCACACATGCTTCTGAGATGAAGACCAGGCGTTATCTGTCCTGTGCAGACCTCTCCCTTCCTGGGACCTCGTAATCCTCTCCTCTGCAGTACTCTGTAGTAATTGGGCAGTTCGTGGGTTTATCTTTATCCCCCACCCTTGGTTTTCTTTGCATCTTGTAGTGTCTCCAGGAAGCAGGCCCCTCTAGTCTTTGGTCTATGGTTCTTTGTGCCCCAGATGAAAGAATTCAGTCAGCACACACAGCCATGCAGAAATAAAGGTAGATTTTTATTGTAAAATAGATTCAGAGAATTATGCTTCAAGCAAGATGGTGGGTGGTGCCATGAAGACATCTGCCCTGAGTATGAGTTTGGAAGCTTTTTTATACACCCAAAATACTGGGGTATTTATGATGCTTATCAATACTTTATTTATCAGTTACTTTGGAATTGCAAAATGTCTTCCTCACCGTTTTTTTCCCCCTTTTTTGGTATCAGGGATCAAACTCAGGACCTTGTGCTGGCAAGGCAGGAGGCAGCACAACTGAGCTAAACCCCCAGCCCTTCATCTCCTTCTTAGATGGTCAGTGTTTCTTCAGGGGCTTTAATCATACGAGAAACTCACAAAAGATAATTTTAAAATTTAAGCCAGGTCCCAACCTAAGGCAGGAGAGTGTTTAAAGAACACTTCCTCTCCTGATATCATTGAGTTGTGGGCTGTGGCAGCCAGAACGCTGCGTGCTTGTTCTGGGGTTCGTGGGCCAGGTGGCCAGGGATCAGACGAATGTGCACCTTAAGATGTCACTATGTACTGAGGGATCGCTTTGGGTCTGAGACCTGACCAGTGATTATAAAAGTGATTATAAAACTGGTGTCTTTGTTTCTTTGCTCAACTGGCAATGCGTGCTATTTTGGGGACTCCCCCCACCCAGTCCATTCGTTCGCGAGGCCTGCTAATGTCTGTCGGTAGAGTGCACAGCACTTCCTCTTGCTCTGGGTGCACTCTGAGCACACCTCCTGACAGCACTGGCATGGTTTCCTAAGGGCAGGTTTGAGCTGTCCCCCATCTTGGGACAGTGATCTCCTTGAGTCAAGAGGTGTCTTGCCAATCTCCATGCCTGGACACAGTACCTGGTTCTGGTGGACCCCTCATTGTTTGCGTAACTGAACCTTCCTGGCTGTTTGATTTCTGGAGGTCCAGCCCCTTTCCCCGGGCCCTGCTGAGAGCCTGGGGGCGCAGCAAGAAAGGAAGGAGAGCTCAGCTTGCTGAACCTGTGCTCTTGGCTCCTGTAATTAGGGCTCCTGTCATTAGCCACTAGGGGGCAGCGGCCCCTCATCCTTCCTCACTGCAGGCCTGGAATCCGAGGCCACTTGCTTTCCACAGAAAAAATCGATTCCCTAAGAGCTAATTTGCTGAAAAATCATTTTGCAAAATAGTCAACTCAGCAAATAATCATCTTGCTAAATCATTGAGGAGTTACTAGAACTTTGGTTTTACTCTGACTTTTCCTTAGATGCTTAATATTTCATTTATGAGTGTTTTCTTCCCCTAGTTCACTGTGTTGTCTACATTGGGCAGGCAGCATCTCGCTAGGGCTTGACCTCTGCCTCTGGACTGACCTTCACCTGTGGTGGAACTGTGCTGAGCTGCTTTAAGATTTTGGTCTCATCATTTTAGTGAGCTGGTTTTATATGCATTGCCCTAGTACCCAGGAAAGGGGATTTGACCCATTTGGGGTACTTCGTTATTGAGGAAGTAGGAGGGAGTAGGAGGAGGGCAAGAGGTTTTCTATTTTTCCACCAACCTGTGGCCTCAGTGTTCCCCAAAGCCCTTTTGGGCCATCCCAGCCCCACCAGGCTTTCCTCTAGGTTGGTATAATGGAAAAGACATCCTCAAGGCTGACGTGGGAAGACAGCTCAGGGGACAGGACAGCCTGCCCCTTGCCTTTGCAGTTGGGAGGGCTCAGCACTGCCTTAGATGCTAAAAAAGCCAGCTGAGCTCAAGTTGCTGGCTTCTGCACTGAGAGGGGGGCCCCGGGGAAGGACTTGCTCAAGGGTGAACCTGGAGCTCACGGCACTCCTGGATCAAGGCAAGTAGGTCCCACCAGGGCAGTGCAGACTGATTTGCCCAGGAGGGGTCAGAAGTCATCAGAATCATGGAGACATAAAGCAGAGTGGGGACGTGGTCCAGGGTGTCTAGCGTTCCCTCTGTGTCGCAGGATGGAAAAGCCTGGGAGTGCAGTGCACTTGAAGACCATTGGGATGGGAAACAAAGCACTGTATGGATTTTGCATTAGAAAAGGGGTGAACTTCCTTGGGAAGTTGAGACCAGGGAATTGGAACACAATGATCTCTCTCAAAAGAGCATTGTGTCTTGAGAGACACAGGAAGCCATCAGAACATCCGCTGTTCTGGAATTCTGCTCTCTGGGGAGAAGCTATCATTCACCCCAAGACAGCTCCAGCTGGTGGGCTGTGGCCCCAGGCTGCAGGTTTTAGGGACACCCTTGGGGAGAAAGGGGAGACTTGTTACAGGAAGTTGTAAAGGCTGCTTCAGGGTTAAATTGGGTGGGGAGTTGCTGGAGGAAACAATATCTTCATGTTTTTACCTACATCTTTGAAAGGCCAGGTGAGAGAGGTGGTTGTGGGCACCATGGGACAAGGCCTGCTATGAGCAGGCTGCACTCCTACATATTCTTGTTGTGCCTGGACCCCAGAGGGCAGAGGTCTGAGGAAGGTGCTGGTGTGGCCTGTCCCCAGCCTCAGTCCCATCTGCTCCTGCGCATGTCTGCCCTGTGCCTGGCACTCTGCACTTCCTGTGTGATTGCCCTGCGCCTCTGTTGTTGTGAAACCTATTTGTAGAAACCTTTCCCTTCACAGACACACTCAGAAATCCTCCTGCTGGGGACTCAGGCCCTCGAAAGGTGTCACGTCCCTGCTGTCCCCACCTTGAAACTCTAGGCCTTCCTGAAGAGTTGCTGCCTCTGGCCTGAGGGGAACCAGCAGCTGCTTCCACCCAGCAGAGGATGGAGGGATGGCATGAGGCCAAGTGTGGAGGTCCTGAGGAGGTGGAAGGCCAGGGGCCAGGCCTGAGGTATGTGTTCAATGTGTGTGTGTGTGTGTGTGTGTGTGTGTTGTGCTTGGACATGAATGTAGGGCTGATGTTGGCTTTAACCCATGAAAGCCGGCTTGGATTTCTGGGCTCTGTGGAGGTTTCCTCCTGGTTCAGCCTGTCACCCCACCCTGTGTGAGCACACACTGGGGAAGTCATGTGGAGCAGCTTTCCTAGGAGGAGGTATGCCAGGAAAGGGTGCTCAGCCTGAGGAGGAGGTAGAGGGCAGTGGAATGGGGGGAACAAGCAGGCAAGGAGTCTTCTTAGGAGCCTTCTAACTTGGGACAGTGACACTGAGCAGTCCGCAGGAAGACGTCAGAGGGAGATATTGGCACTGCCAGCCTTGCTGAGAGGCAGAGGACAGGGACACTTATTTTCCATGTCTGGTCTTCTAATATCTCCCAGATTTCACAGTTAGGATCCCACTGCCTAGGCAATGAAAGTCATAAATACTTCTCCCCAATCACCTGTATGAAGCTCACCTCTTAGCCCTTCCCCTAACTTGCTGGGCTGGGCCTAAGTCCTCCCTGTGCTGGGCCTCCGGAAGCTTTTCTAATCACTTTCTTGGTGGGTTGGGACTGTCCTCAGATGTGGGACAAAACCTTGTTTCACAGGAAGCTTTTGTCAGATGCCTGGGCCCATGGCCCTCATGGGTCATGTTCTAAGAAGAGAATTAACAGTTAGTGGATTGACTTCTGGTTCTGTGGGGCCATTGTTCACTCTTCTGGTAGAAGCATTCCTCTGTCTCTCTGGAAGGAAGACTTCTGGGCCAGCACAGCACCAGGCCTTGGGGACAAAAAGCAGAACTTTTGCTTGTGGGTCACTTGAGGTATTACTGAATGATGAGACATGGAGCTCATAAGGTAATTTTAAAAATTAAATTAAATTTTATGTAAAGTTGTACCTATTAACAGGGTACCATGTGATGTTTTGATATATATAGGGATTTTGCAATGTTTCAGTCAGGTTAGACATAACTCTCTTCTCAAATATTTATCATTTCTTTAAGCTAAAAACATTCACAATCCTTGCTTCTAGCCCTTTGAAATAGATGGTACATAATCGCCACTCACTATCCATAGTGACCGCACAGAACTTCTGTTCCAGTCTAATCCATTGATCAACCTTTCCCCACCCCTCAGTCCCTCCTGCTTCTCTCTGCCTCTGGCAGTAACCATCTGCTCTCAACTCCAATGAGATCAACTCTTCTATCCCATATCAGAGTGAGATCCTACAGGACGTGTCTTTCGGTGCCTGGCTAACTACTTAACACAAGGATCTCCAGTTCTACCTATGTCACAGATGATGAGATTTCATTCTTTTTTTTTTTAAATGCTGAGTGATATTCCATTGTGTCTATGTACTACATTTAAAAAATCCATCCATTAATTGACAGACACTTAGGTTGCATATCTAGGTTACTGTCAATAGTGCGGTAGGGCCGAGGATTTACTCAGTGGCCTGGCGCCTGCCTCACAAGTGCAAGGTCCTGAGTTTGATCCTCAGTATTGAAAAAAAAAAATGCTGTAATAACCATGGGCTTGCCAATATCTCTTCAACATACAGATTTTATTTTCATTTGATAGATTCCCCAGGAGTAGAATGGGTGGATTATAAGACAGTCCTATTTTTGTTTATGTTTTTTTTTTTTTTTTTTTTTTTTGGTACTGGGGATCGAACTCAGGACCTTACGCTTGCAAGGCAGGTGATGGAACCACTGGCTAAATCCTCAGCCCAAGATAGTCCTATTTTTAATGAACTGGGGAACTCTATGCTATTTTCCACAGAGACTGTGTTATTTTACATATCCTCCAATATTGTGTGGTTCATTTTTGCTTCCCACCCTTGCCAAGCCTGTTATCTTTTTTTTTTTTTTTTTTTTTTTTTTTTTTTTTTTGGTACCAGGGATCAAACTCAGGACCTTACGTTTGTGAGGCAGGCAGCAGAACCACTGAGCTAAATCTCTGGACCTTCTTTCATCTTTTTGATAGCAGTCATTATTGCTGGAGTGCATGTCTTTCTGTGGTTTTGATTTATATTCTTTGATTATTTGTGGTGTTAATAATTTTTTCATATATCTGTTGGTCAAGCCATTCTCTTATACATCATCTCATTTGAGACATTTGTTTTTGTAGTGAGGATTGAATCCAGGACCATAAATATTCTAAACAACTGCTCTACCACTGAGCTCTATTCCCACTTTTCTCTTTAAAAATTTATTTTGAGATAGGATCTCCCTAAATTGCCTAGGCTGGCCTTGAACTTGTGATCCTCCTGCCTCAATCTCTCATGTAGCTGAGATTACAAGTGTGTGCCACCACCACTTCTTGGCCTTTTGGTTAAGTATATAAGTGTGTGCTGCCACAGCCAGTTTTGAAGGAAGACTGAATGATCTGTGCATGATGACACATACCTCTAATCCCAGCTAATCTGGAGGCTGAGACAGGAGGATTGCTAATTTGAGGCTAACCTGGGCAATTTAGCAAGATCCTGTCACACACACACACACACACACACACACACACACACACCAGAAAACAAAATAAAACAAAACTTAAAACAAACAAACAAACAAACATAATTGGGGATGTAGCTCAGTGCTCCCTGAGTTCAATCCGAGTGCTGGAAAAAACATTTCTTGGAGTAGACAATGCTACTTTCATCCTAGGTGTGAGGACACTGAGATTAGAATGATTCAGCAGCCACAGGAGACCTCAGCTAGTGAGTAGCAGAAGGGGCACCAGGCTACCTCTTAGCCTCTGATCATGCCCCCCACTCCTCTGTCAGCTTCCCGTGGCACATAATACTCATGCCTCCCATGAATGGTGCTTTTTAGTTTGTCTCCTGCAACACAGTATTAGAGTCTCATGTACACCCTACATTATACTTGCTAATGTGTTCATGTTACCACTTGATTATATATGGCAGTGTTTCCCAGACTTGGCTAGTCATTATCACTTAGCATTTGATGAATACAGATTTCCAGCCTCTTCCTTTGAGATTCTGATTTTTCAGATCTAGACAAACCTGCATTATTTTAAAGTTTTTATGTTGTTTTGAGAAGTGGTCTCACTTGCTGTGTTGCTCAGGCTGGTCTTGAGCTCCTGGACTCAAGTGCTCCTCCTGGCTCATCCTCTTGCATAGCTAGGACTATAGGTGCCTACCACAGGACCCAGCTGGCCTATCTGACTCCCCATGGTTCTGAATGGTGAAGAACCTTCATAGAATAAGAGGGTTTGTTTCAGAGAAAAGAGTGCAGGGAAATGCTGGGAACCAGTGTAGGGGGAGTTAGGACTTCAGGAGTAAACACTTGGGAGAAGAGAGAGTGAGCGTTCTCACTGCACCCCACCTGCCCTGTGCATGAGTGGATCCCTGATGTTTGCTTCTTGTCCCTGCAGGAGCAGCAGGAGCTGGACTCAGGAGAGCCCCTCCTTGGAGCAGGGCTGCACGAGGCCCAACCTGCGGCTCCTGCTGCTGGGAAAACAGCGTGCAGGAAAAAGTGCTACTGGGAACAGCATCCTGGGCAGAGCTGCATTTGACTCCGGGTTTGGCTCTCAGAATGTGACTGTGAGGTGCCGGCGAGAGAGTGGGGCTGTTTTCGGGAGGCAGGTGGTGGTCATCGACACCCCTGACATCTTCTCCCCCTTGGCCTGTGCGGAAGCCAAGCCAGGCAACATGGACCGGTGCATGGAGCTCTCCGCTCCTGGCCTCCATGCGCTGCTCCTGGTGGTGCCTATCGGAAATTACACCGTGGAGGACGAGCAGACCTTCCAGGGCATCCAGGAGGAGTTTGGGGAGGAGGCCAGCAGGCACATCCTTATAGTCTTCACTCGGAAGGAGGAGCTGGGTGACAATTCACTGCAGGATTACATTGAAAGCAAAGAGTTTCTTAAAGCATTGGTTGGAAGTGATGAAGGCCGCTACTGCGTTGTGGACAACAAGGCAGATGAGGGCGAGCAGGCAGCCCAGGTGTTGCAGCTCCTCAGCAAGGTTGAACACTTGGTGGAGAGTCACGGACTGTGGCACGTGAACCTCAGAACCAAAGGCCGTGGATTTCAGGCAAGAATTAGCTAGTGAGGAAATGGGCCAGGGCCCAGGGTGAGGGAACAGGAGGAGATGTTCACCAGGAGTCTGGAATAGGCAGAGGTGTCAGACTTTGGGTCACTTTGGTGTCAGCAGGATGACTTTGGACTTTAGTCTTTGTCTTACATAATCCCTTGTATAAATGGACGCAGAAATGACTCTAGATTATTTCTTCCCCTGTCTTCACTGAAATCACCCTTTTTTGTCTTTTTCTCCTCTCCTTCCGATAACTCTAAAGAGTGCCGAGTCTTCCTGCAGCCTCTGGCCCCTCTTCCATTCTTTGTTTGCTTTCCAGTCGATCCCATGTTTTTCTGCTGTCAGGCTCTATTCCTTGGTGCCAAGTGAATAACTCTAGCCCAGCTCCTACACTTCCAACTTCTTTGCCCAGTTACCCCTTGGCATCTCCACTGGGATCTCTTACCCAGTCTCACACTTACCCTGCCCAAGCTTTGAGACTTCCCTCTTAAATCTCATAAGACTTCAGTTTCCCGCTTCGCTCAGCAAGTGGTGATATTGTCCACCCATTTTCTTCACACTGAAGTCCAGAGGTCAGCTGTGATACCATGGCCAGCTCTCATCGAGAGATCATCAAATCTTGTGCAACTAGCGTTCCCGATTTCCAGCTTCTGCTCTCCATCCCCATGACCACCATCTGATCCAAGCCAGAGTCCTATCTTGCCATTGCTATTTTAGTCTGCTAATGGCTTTCTCTTTATTCATTCTTGGCCCTCCTTCCGCCATCTATTTCACCCACAACAGACAGGGTGATACTTCATGTGATTTTTTTTTTTGTAAAGGTAAATGTACAATATTTACAACTAAGTTTGAGGTTCCAGAGTGCAGGCTTCTCCTCTGAGGTGCTGACATTGCAACTGAGTGACTTCTGCCTAGAAACTCAGCACCCAGCAGGTTAGTGTAGGAAGGGGAATATTGGTTCAGAGGACTCTGTGAGCCCAGGTATCAGGGGTGAAGAGCAAGTACAAGGTAAGCTGGGGAAAATTTTGGTCGGAGAGACTTTATAGAGGTGATAAATAATAAGACCAAACAGGATGGAAATAAGACAGCAATCAGAAGTTACTGAGCACCTACTAGATTCCAGACATACTTGACCAACGCTTTACAACAACTCTGTGTAGAGATGCTCTGCAGTGGCAGTAGTGTCAAAGCACAGGAAACTGAGCCATGTAAGGTGAAAGAAATCTGGGAATCAGAGCTAAATAGAGAGGACCCAGGGAGAAAGATGACTGAAGGTTCAAAGATTTTAGGGGGAAGTCAGGTAACGAAGCAGAGGGAGATTTCCTTGGCTGATACGGAGAAGTTAAGAAAGATAAGGTTAGAGCCAGGTGTGGTGGTACATACCTGAAATCCCCATACTTTAGGAGGCTGAGCCAGAATGATAAGTTTTAGTCCTACCTGGGCAACTTATTGAGATCCTGTCTCAAAATAAAAAATAAAAAAGGACTGGAAGTGTGACTCAGTGCAAACCCCAGTAATGCAAAAAAAAAAAAAAAAAAAAAAAAAAAAAAAAAAAAAAAAAAAAAAAAAAAAAAAGAAAGAAAAAAAGTCTAGGGTGTGTCTGAGAACAGTGGAAGAACAAATCCCTCAGGATTGTGCATTACTATTTTTATTTAGGGGGAGCAATTACGAGGCAGGATTCAAAAGGCAGGAGGAAAGGATGTCAGTTGTGGGTTTGATTTCCTGTCCTGTCTTCTCCATCTGCCCACCTGATGGACCTCAGGTCAGAAGTTTTAGCTCCATACTGGGAGCAGAAAGAAAAGGAGACACTGGAGAGGTTGCTACCTCTGGGGACCTGTCACAGTGGCATCAGTGGGGTTCAGGACAGGTCCACAAAAGCCATCTATGTCCAAGCCTGTGATGTTGGATTGACAATATCCTGGTCAGCATGTTACGCTGCAGGATAGAATTGAATCTCCACTTCTTTACCTTGTGAAGTGGTGAGATTATAGATCCGCATGCATCATTTCTCCCTTTGTTTTCTAGTATTGTGTGAATGGAGCTGCATGTCAGGAGAGGGCTGATCCATGCGGTAAGTTGATCCCTTTAAGATGGAAGGCTCATATCTGCACCCCTTCAAGGCATTATGTGGCTAAAGTGAAGTGGAAGAATTTTGCATGTGGATCAGAAACCAAATGCGCCGGGAGACCTCATTCAGCTGGGTGCCCACACCTGTCCCCAGGGAGCTTTCGACACTTGTGAATCAATGCAGCCCCAGCCAAGGTCCTAGATGCAGCATGTGTCCCTGGACTCCTCCACTGTGTTGTGGAGCTGGGTTTGCTTCCTGAGGCTTCTTTCTTAACTCAGCCTCCTCTTCCTGGTCCCACGTTTTACTTCCGATGGGAGAGCGGAAATTACTTCTACATGGACATTAACTCACAACATTCACCATTGGGCTGCAGGCTCTGTGTGGTGGCTGCCACCACCCTTATCACCTGCAGCCTTGCATTGCATGTGGATCCCCTCTTTCTGTTTGGGGGACACAATTTCTTCCATAACATAGACACATACAACTGATGCAACCATCCCTTCATGGATGCACATTTAGCTTATTTCAGGCCAGTCTGGTGCAAGAACTGCATATTCGGAGTCCCTGTCCCCATAGAGCACCCCAACATAATGAAGCTATAATTTCAATAGCAGTGGTAATGATTGTAGTGGACATTCTATGCTGGGAAATGACATATAAATTTATATATAATTCAATCTTCATAGCACATAAAATCGTATGTGTACACACATTAGTTCCCACGATGACCTTGCAAGGAAGTTGTCTTATTATCAATATCTTCTTTTTCTAGATGTGAGCTCAAGCAGTGGGCATTCAAGATTCTGTTTGTGCCCTTCAGTCCAAACTCCAAGGACAAACATGCAACTGAACAAAATCAGGCTTAGGGACTGAAGGTAGTGAGGGCAGAGCCATGTGTGGTGTCCCTGGGCATCTCAGAGGCAGAGCACTTGTCATCAGCTCATGCTAGGGGCTTTGCTCTGGGAGGAGTGCTGCTAGGAGTTGGAGGTAATAGCCAGGTTTAAAAAGTCTTACCTCAGAAGTGGTAAGTGTGGAGCCAGGCTGGCATGGTTATTCGTTAGCCAGAAGAGGGACATTTGGGCCACCCTCTTGATTTCGTCTGCGTTCAGACATATTTGGGAGGGGGCGCATTCACTGAGCACTGGTGTTTAATACTCTGTGGCACTGGGGATGGGAACAAGAGGGTACCATGTCCTCTGGTGATCGCTGGTGCACTTCTGGATCTGGACACTGTTTTTGTTTGTTTGTTTTGTGGTACTGGGGATTGAACTGAGGACCTTGAGCTTGCAAGGCAGGCACAGCTCCACTGAATTAAATCTCCAGCCCTCAGGACACTTTTTAATCACTATACTAGTTTGGCTTTCTTGTTTTGAAGAAATAATGATTTATTATTTTGGTAAGAATAATAAAGGAAGAATACATTGGACTTTGTTTATGTGGGATAGCACTATTGGGTAAGCTCTCACTAACAGACATGCGTTTGTACAGGAAACAGAGTCATTAATAGGAGTTAGGTTGAAAAGTTTGCAAGGTGCTACTGTGTGGAGCAAGGTCCAGAGGGGAGAGAGTGAGAGAGGGGAGCTTTGAGGCCTGGGCTGGGCGCTTGGTGCTGGTGATAAGATGGTTTGGGATCTGTGGTACTGTGCTGTTCTGTTGAGCCCGGCCCTCACTGTTATCTTACTCTGTGCTGGAGACGGGAGCCCATTTTAAAGAAAGTGTGAATGGCAGTGACAATACAGCAAGTAAGGCATGAAGGTAGTCAGGGGCCAAAGACCAGGAGTGCAGTGCTAATGAAGGACAGGCCTCACCGGCACCGGATGGCTGTAGTGGCCCAGCTGCCCTCACTCTCTGCTACTGACTCCTCACTGAGTGTTACCACTCTGGTGACCTGAGCTGAGACCTTCCATGATGAGAAAGACACATCCCATTTTCTTCTAATTTGGAATCTTCACTGAGGAAAAGCACCCAGATCCCACTATTTATTGGGAGCCTCCTGACAAAGTACAAATGTGGTGAATGGTCAGAGAGGCTGGAAGGGCTTTCAAATGGATTTTGGAGAACAGGTAGGGTAGAGCCGGCTGGGTGGGAAGCTGGGGGATCCCAGAATATTCTACAACTTGAAGACAAGGAGAGGAACTGATTGTGCCTCTAGGGAGTGGGGCAGAAGACAGTGATCCAGAAGGACATGAGGGTCGTAGCGCTAATACTCCAGGACAGGGAGTTTATACCAGATCTCCGGGGTGCTTGGGGGCCAGATCCTAGGTTTGGAGGCAGGGTGTGAAATACAGGATACACAAGGGGTGCCAGAGCATGAAAGTGCTCCATTTCAAAGGAAGTATAAGTAGCATATGGATGGGCTCAGCAGAAGCAGCTCAACAGTTTCTCCTGGAAGAAAGGGTCGGGCTGGGCACTCCTCCTTCTTTGCTTTGAAGTTATACAGGTAACCTGGAAGAATTTCATAAAAGAAGGCCTCTGTGAAGAGGCCCAGAGCCAGGGGAAAGGCTAAGGAAACTACCTCCAAGGGTTACACATGGTGAGACCTCTGTGCTTCTGAAAATTCCGCTTCTAGGGATGTTTATTTTCCTCCATCACCACCACACAGAACAGCTAGTGAGTATTTTTATTTTAACTACAAATGCCCTTAACTCATCATGTAAGATTTAAAGTCTCACTTCCACTCCACAGATCATGAACAGCCAAAAAGGCCTCCACGATGCTGGGCCCTAACACCCAGCGAGGCTCCGGGAGCTCGACGGAGAAATGAGAAACCCAGGAAGGAACACACCAGGCTAGATGGTAAATAGACCTTTATTAGTCTGGCTAGACTGCACTCCAGAGCCAGGTAGCTCAGAGAGGCAACTGCTCAGGGCTGAGGTACTTTTTATAAGGTTTTTCTAAACAAAGAGTCAGGGAATTCACAGAACAAGACTGCAAACACATTGCTTATCTTATGCAGGAAATGTTCTAGAGTCACCTTTTGTCAAACCATTTGCCCCTGGGCGGGCTGTTAACCAAGGTAGCAATTAGCATATGAAGAAGCACAGTCTGGCCTATTAGCATGGAGTCACTTTAGCTTATTCAAGTTTTACAATCAGTGAAAGACACAAGGAGGTCCAGTATGATTTTGTGTGTGTGTGGGGGGTATTGGGGTTAGAACCCAGAGTCTTCACACTGAGCTGCAGCTCCCCGCTCCTGTTTGGTACTGGGGATCGAACTCAGGACCTTGTGCTTGTGAGACAGGTGTGGTGCTACGAGCTAAATCCCTAGCCCTGCCCCCCTCTTTTTGAGACAGGTTCTCACTAAGTTGTTAAATTGTCCAGGCCTGGGATTGAACCTGGATCCTCCTCCCTCAGCTTCAGAGAGCTGGGATCACAGGCATGAAGCATTACACCTAGCTTCAGTGTGATTTTAATGAATAACAAATTTCATTCTGATCCCAGAAATGGACTTGCTGATCCACTGATGGTATATGCAGTTAGTGTTTCATGAAAATCACATTCTGGAGAATAGCTTTTCAGGTACCTCAGAGAGGGTGCTGAGAATCAGCCATAGTTGTAGCAGAGACAGAAGACAGACATGAGATGTGTAGACTGGGTCTAGTGTGTGAAGGCACAGATAAGACCAGTGGCTTTCACGGGTGCCAGGGAGTAAGAGGAGATCCTGGGAGAAGTGGGCAGAGAAGATTCAGAGATCAGAACACAGCACAAAAAGAGTCTGCAGTCCGAATCCTGCTGCCAAGTTCAGATGGTGTAATCTGGGACAAGCCATCCCCGTGGGTGGGGACAGACTGGCCAGGAGAGGAGGAGGCTACCATGCTGTCTTGAGCACCCTCTCTGCATAATGTTGCCACACTGTCCTGTGAATGACTTAGAAAGATGAGTTCTATGCCAGTCCACACTCACGAATCTGTCCCAATTTCTTTTGCACAGGAACCCTGAACATTATCCTTGTGGGAAGGAGTGGGACTGGGAAGAGTGCAACCGGGAACACTATCCTGGGGAGACGTGCCTTCCTCTCTCAACTCCGAGCCCAGCCAGTCACCCAGACATGCCAGAGTGGCCGGAGGACATTGGACGGGCAAGATGTTGTGGTTGTGGACACCCCATCCTTCCTGGCTTCTTCCTGGTTAGAGGAAGAAGTTAAACACTGTTTGTCTCTGTGTGAGGGAGGAACCAAGGTCTTTGTCCTGGTGCTCCAGCTTGGATGTTTCACTCAAGAGGACAAAAGGGCAGTGTTGAATCTGGAGACCATCTTTGGAGAGGATGTTATGAAATACATGATTGCGCTGTTCACCCGGGAGGAAGACCTCAAGGGCGGGAAGATTGAAGATTACACTGAGAACACAGATAACAAAGCCCTTAAGAGTCTAATTAAAAAGCACAAGTGGCCAGTTTGTGCTTTTAATAACAGAGGCACTGACCAAGCCCGGGAAGTGCAGGTGAAAGATCTTTTGAAGAAGGCCAATGACCTGAGAAAAAGTCATGAAGGGTCTGAGTATTCCTCTACGTGGGAGAATATCAGCCAACAAATTAAAAATGCCCAGAAAAAATACAGTTGCAAAATATCCATAAGTACTTTAAAAAATATGTTTCAGTAGGTAGCTGAAAGGCTTGGGGTCTCTTCCTGTTAGGAACATTGCCATGCTGGGAGAAGGGTGAGTTATGGTAGGACCAGTGGGATAGTAGGGAGGTCGGTGGCTTTCATGGCTTGAGAGGCTAATCCATCCTACCTCATGTGGTAGCTATTTGTAGGCAAATACATAGGCTGGGGCAGGGACGAGTGGATTGTGAAGGAGAAATAGGGAACAAGGCAGAAGAATCTAAAAGAAAGGGTTAGAATCTGATGGAGTCAGGACACCACGACCAAGGTCCACGCCAGCTGTGGCATCAGATTACAGATAGTAGTGCAACAACCATGGGATCCAGGCACAGAGAACAGAGCAATGTCCAGTGTGCACCTGGGCATGGCAGGTGTGGGAGAGGACTCCAGTGGGCCTCTCTGTGGCCCAGTCTGTCCTCCAGGTGCACAGGTAGCTCCTCCTTCCAGCCCTCTCCTTCCATGCCTGATATAAAGCTGGACACGTCTTCCCTTCCTTGTCCTAGAGAAAACAAAAAGCCTGTGAAGGTTCAAGCGATTTTACCGCTAACTAGCACAGTAAAGTAGACCAAAACAAACACTAGAAGCATAGCACAATTTGAATAGAGAATTGCAAAATTTTAACTTTTATTCTAGGTTTCCTGTAGGGGTTATTGGAATTCCTCTACACTCCCCTCTGCCTTTAAAAAAAATTCATAAATGTTAATAACTAGGTTAAAACTCAGACAACTCAAATAATATTGGTTTAAACATAGGGTTCATTGTGTCTCATATCAAAAAGTCCAGTAGCACTCAGTGTTGGGCTGTGGGCATCAGAATTCTAGCTTCCTCCTGTCTTTCTGCCTAGCTTTGGGGGCACATGAACCCCACAGTTGAGCTTACTTCTTAGTTCCAAGGTCTATCCATGCTCAATAGATTCTTTTGGAAGCTTCCTGAAGTGTGCAATGCATGATATCGTAAGTATAGATTCTTCTCCCAGGTAGATAGGGAGTTGGATGTTTTCTATAATAACCACTTTATTCATGCTTTAAGGACAAGAGCTATGACATAATTCTGTTATTTACTTTCTTGTCTCCAGACAACATTTGTTTACCTTCAAGATTAACTTATTTATTAGAGCATGGGTTGTTACAATTAATACCCATAGGCACCACATACCTCTTAACATGGGAACTTCCTGAAAATGTGTGTGTAAATGTATTGAGTTCAAACAATAAAGAGGTATAAGATTATGAATTTGCAATATTTTCTGATCTCTTCTTTCCTTTTTTTTTTTTGGGGTACTGGGGATCGAACTCCGGCCCTTGTGCTTGCAAAGCAGGTGGTGGAACCACTGAGCTAAACCCCTGGCCCTGATCTCTTCTTTCCTGACACAGAAAAAACATGTGTCCATGGAGAGGCAACTGAGATATCTTGAAGCAGGAGAGGTCTTTACCTCTTGAATGAGTGACAGTTGCATGCTGGGCAGACCTCTGCAGTTTATGGATCTCTCACACTGGATATTTCATTAGTGCAATGACAAATAAATACAACCGACGTTAGAATCAGGAATAAACTCGGGAGGGCATTCTGGTCCTCTTTCCCTTCTGGTTGAAGGCAGGAGCAAATGCTAGTGTGCCACCTGTGGCCGAGCAGGTGACACTGGGACTTGCACCAGGCTGGTGAGGCACAGGCTAAGCAGTGAAGGACAAGCTCACAGGTAGGATCCAATGTACGTGCTGTTTTCCAGTTGCTCCTGAGCAGGCAACAATATTGCCATATCAGTTGCTCTGAGAAGCACATACTGAGAAATAGTGGGGGAAGAGTTCACTAGTGATACAGAAAACTTTTATAAATGGCAAAAACCTATAAAGTGTTACAATATAATATGGCTTCTGCTGTCTCTCACAGCAGTTTGCTTTGTTTAGCTTAGAACTAACAGGCACTGAAGGCACTAATTGCTGACTGAGGCATTTGGTGTGACCCTGAGATAACAGGGCACATCAGGGTCTTGAGCTCCCAGAGACTGAAGCCACCTGATTGTAAAAGTCTAAATGAAAGAACCCATTGCTAACATTTGCTCCCCTGACCCTGAACACCCCCTTCCTATGGGCTAGAATAGGTAACTAGGCGAATATTAAAGGTAAACTCTCCATCTGCAAAGAACTGTTAGGTCTGGGTTGAAAAGATTAACTATGCTGTGACCATTATTTGACCTGTGAGAATGAAATGTATGCACCCAAATGAAGTCAAGGCTGTAAAACCCTATAAAAGGAGGAGTTGTAACCCAGTGCGTCGATGATCCAGGCACGGCTTATGTGCGATGGACCCTTACCAATAAGTAAATTTGTTATTTTACTTCCGTTCTGCTGCCTCTCTGTATGTCACTTACGGATTCCTTCTGTAACACTAGGGGTAATGCATTTGAAAGAAAAAAGAGAGAAGCAACAGAGTCAGGCTGTGATGCTGACCTGGTACACCTCAAAAGAATTGCAGGAAGAGCGTGTGAGCTCGGGAAGCCCATGTCCGCTCAGCAGCGAGCTCTGGGGGCAAAGACTGGTGGCCTAGCCCTGCACCAGGGAGTGTCTGGTAGCTCTGCTGAGCTTGCCAAAGGCTAGGAACTTCCTGGGAAGAGCATGGCTTTGGCTCCCAACTAGAGCTGAGAAGCACAAAGCTCTCCAGTGGGGAATAATGGTGGGCATAGCCTCTCCTATTTCTTCTATCTAATGGTTCTCAAAATGTTCTTTCTCCTGGGCACACAGCACCATACAGAGGTCACTGATGCAGTGTTAATGTATCCTGAAAGGGCCACTTACCCTCGCTGAGGGTGTCTCTCTGAGCTGGCAGGCCAGAGTCGATCTTCCACTGTCTCTAGCATATGCATCTTGGCATGGCCACCAGTATGCTGACTGCCTAGACATTTGGCATTTCCTGGAGATAGTTTTGGTTGTCCCTGAGGGAAATAGGGGCTGTTGGCACGTATCTCCAGGGATTCTGGTGGCCATTGTAAACCTGCGGGACACTCCTCACCCCCAAGTGATCTGATCCCAAATGTCAACAGTGCTGATACTGAGAGACCTAATGCATGCTGTCAAAGTGCCATACTGCACACTGTCCAGTCTTTGGGTTAGAGAGTGGGTGGGAGAGGTAACTTCAGAGGAAGTAGCTTCCACCTTCCACAGTGTCCCTGTTCTGCCTGATCACCAAGCATGTGCTTGTTTTCACGTTGGGCTGCCTTTCTCTTTTCTCACAACAACCCTCTCATTTTCATTTTCTGTCTTTCTGCACAGAGAAAGATGTGCCAAAGAATCTTGTTTTTATGGAGGGTTCAGCTTAAAGAAAACAAAGTAATTCCCGATTTCCAAAAGAGCATGCTATAGAGACTGGCTAAATTCCCAGAAGGGAGCTGTAGGCCAAGTGACGCCATGGTCTGTGGATTCTGTGAGCAAGCTGAATTCTTCAGTGAATCCCAAGGCCACTTGACTATGAGCCCCTGTCCTCCTACCTCCGATGGAACTGCCACTAACTCTGTAAAGGCCCTAACCCTTCCTACACCATCATCGCAGTTGTCATGCCACGGAACCATGGGCTCAGCTTCTCTCACTGGATCACTGTTCTCTTCCCCAACTGACCAAGCAGGACATTGTCGTGGCTGATCTCCCATTTTCCTGGGAGGCAGCGTGATATTCATGAGAATATTCTCTGACAATTCACTTTACTCTCACATTTCCGAGAACAAACGGGGGACATACTCAACAGACTGGTATAACATCCAACTGTGAGCAGCATGATACGTTTCTTCCCTCAGCCACACCTATTTCCTGTTTTTTGCTTGTCACTTAACACAGTTTTTACATAAGTCAGTGGCAAGCTTGTGTCTCCTACCCACACATTGTAGGACAGAGTAAAAGGGCTCCGATTTTGCCCATGAGGTTAGGCCCAAAAGAGCCTCAGGAAGTACATTTATAATTTGTTTTTCACAAGTCTACAGAAAGCTGAAGTTTAAAAGGAGGTCACATTGAAATAATAACTACAAATATTTTATTTTAGCTTTCACCTCACTGCTATTGTGGCACTGCAGACTCCCAGAAAGATCCTGTTTTCCTTAGACATATTTCTGACTTTTTACCTAGACGACAAATTATATGCATTCCTGACAATTTCTTTTCTTTCTGGTACTGGGAATCAAACTAAGTATCTTTTGTGCTTGCGAGGCAGGTGCTATGCCACTGAGCTGAATCCCCAGCTCCATTCCTGACAGTTTCTATCACCTGTCCTGTGGTCCTTACATGCTACTACTGTTCCTGACCTGGATCCTTTTCTGTTGCTATTAGTCACTGGGGCTACTGACCAGCAAGCATGACCCTCAATCCTATGTCTTCAGGATGTCAACATTGCCAGATTTACCAAGGACTGAGGCATCTACAGTACACCATGGTATTTCTTCTACTTCTGTTCCAACTGAGGTTACTGTAGCACAGCTGTTCCCTCCACAGGCCCTCATCCCCTCCTTTCATAGAGTCCCATACCTAGCAAAATGTCATCATTTGACCTGTCTCATGTTTTTCTGGAAGACCTCAATGGGGAAGTTTGTCTTTATTTGACCTGACTAGATGCTTGCCTAGTATCAACAGTCTTTTTTCCCCATGGGTGCCTTTTTGAAACCAGTTTTTAAAATATCACGTATGCATGAAGCCCTGGGTACAACTGTGGGAAGCAATAGATTAGGCAAAAAGCTCAGCAGAAAAAGCCATGGAATGTGACATTGCTGGGGACCTTGACAACCTTGAACATATTCCTGGGAGTCTAGGAGGCCACAGAAGCACACAGAATAATATATGATGAGGGCTGGGCAAATGCTCAGTTCAGACCTGAGAAGCCTCCAGATCTCATTTCTGATGGTCCCAGAACAGAAAAATGAAAATAAAGGCAGAATTGTAAGCTCCCACTGAGTGTTGAAGGTGTGTCCCAGAAGCACACAAAGCTTCTTGCCCCAAGCTGGAAGATTCCAAAACTTAAGGAACTCTTTGTTCAGGCATTAGTTGATCACTGAACTTGCTGAGCAGAGTCTCCAATGGCCACACATGACAAAGAATGTAAGTTTGTAGAATTAGCTCAGGAAAGTAGCCAAACAACAAAACAAGAATAAGAGTGGGGGATTGGATTGCAAAGTAGCCACATTCTATTACTTAAGATGTCAGGGGCTGGGCACATAGCTCAGTGGTAAAACAGTTGTGAAGCAGGCATGAAACCCTGGGTTTGATTCCTTGTACCACAAAAATAAACAAATATTACTAAGCAGGTAAAGAAATAAAAAAAAAAAATTAAGCACACACACACACACACACACACACACAAAACCTATCAGTAAAATGCTGTTCCTGAGGAAGTGCTGATGTTGGACTTCCTGGGTAATGTTTTTAAACTGGCTGTTTAAAATACATTTAGCCACCTGTCTCACCAAGCACAAGGTCCCAAGTTCAATACCCGGTACCCCCCACCCCAAATTACATTTGGGACTGGGGATTTAGCTCAGTGGTACTGTTTCTGCCTTGCAAACACAGGTCCTGAGTTTGATCCCCAATACCATGCACATGCACACACAAAGTTTAAAGAACTAGAGGAAATTTTGTCTAAAGAACTAAAAGAAAGCATGATCACAATGTCTCACAAAATAGAAAATACCAATAAAGAGATAGAAACTGTTTAAAAATAATAAAAGGAAACTCTGGAGTTGAAAAATATATAAGTAATGTATGCCTCAACAGCAGAATTGATCAAGCAGAGGAAGGAAACCAGGGAACTTAAAGAGAGATGAATTAGAGACACGATCTGGTGAACAGAGAGCGGAAAAGGATGTAGAAAAATAAGTCTCATCAGAGATCTTTGGATGCCATCAACATGGGAACACATATCTGAGGAATCCTAGAAAGAAAAAAGAGAGGGAAAGTGATCACAAGAATAGGAAACAATGGTTACAAACTTCTTCACTTGATGAAAAACATTGATCTATATGTCTGAGAAACTCAGTGGGCTTTAGGGGAATTCAGAGATACCCTCATCTGGATACATTATAATAAGGCTGTCAAAAGACGAAGATGGGTCTGGGTATGGTGGTGCACACCCACCTATAATCGCAGAGATCTGAGAGGCTGAGATAGAAGGATCACAAATTCA